GAAAGCGAAGGGGAAGACCACAGAAAAATGTGGTGGTCTGAAATTATTATTTTTTTTTGTTTTTTAAACAGAGCTAAAGAATACATTTGGTGAGAGCCACTGTGAAAACAAAGGAGACAAAGAGTGGAGGCACTGGGTTGATATCTCTGAGCAACTTTAGGACAGTTTGGAATGTGAGAAAGAAAGCATCCTGAGAGGCCAGCGTGTTTCTGAATGCACTCATTTTTAAATGTTAAGACATTGTTTTAAACTTGTTAGCTAATGGAATCAAATTTAAAAATATACTACTATAATACTTTTTGATATTACTTGTCTGAGTTCCTTTGCCAGCTGAACAAGTCAATTGGCACGTTCGAGATGAACCAGATCTGTGCAGGATTGATCACTGGCAATTGGCGTGCAATGCATGCTGGTTAGTTTTCAGTCCAACTTGATCTTGACTTTCTCTGACGTAACGCTCATGTGGGCAACGATATTCTCACGGGATCGAGGCGGCTGCAGTTTTTGGAGCCAGGCGCCGCTGTTGCTCTCCACCGACTGCAAGAGCTCAGGGCATGATGGGAAACGCCTGGCTCTTACCCGATCTGAGAGCTGATTGGTTGAGATGTTGGCTCAACAAGATGACATTTTTTAGAAACATATCACTTCTTGTGTAATTGCAAGAATTGTGATTTTATTAGCTGGTATTTGCACTAAATGTGTGACTGATGGTGACTTTTATCAGTCAAAGAAGATGAATACAGTCAGTACATATAGTTCTCATAGACTACAGACAGTCTGTGATATGCTGCTATACAAAATGAACTGATTTATTCTGTGAAGTATTAATTAAGTGACAAAAGCAGGATGTGAAGATTCTTTAAGTGATACCTGTTCGGAGTTGGCGCAGACTAATTATCTGAGAGATCAACAATGGCTACAAAATGTATTTATGCACTTTCAATATCAAATCAAGCCTGTTCAGCTCAAATACAGCAGCAAACCGATATGATCCCTGCTTTGTATGAGAAATGTAGCCCTGATACATTTTCAGACAATATTTTAAGTAATAGTACGGCGATAACGTAAATCAGCATGTTATCACTGTCCTTGTCATATAGAAGGACGCCATTAAACCAACAGCTGTTTGGACCCAGAGTAGAAGCTGAAAAGTTTGGTTTAATAACATTTTATTAAATTGGGATCACATCTAACAGGATGTGAGTGCTTCTGTGACTTCCTGTACAGGCAGAAGGCAGCTGGAAAGCTCAGAAGACTGTCATGGTGTCAAAGTAATTGCAAATTACTTTTGGAACATCTGAGTTGGATGATAATAACCAAAGAGGGGTACTGCTGTTTGGGAATGCACACTCTGGGCACATGCAGCATTGTCATGAGTTTTAGATTAAAAATACCTTTATACTCTTTTATTAAGCTTTGGCATGGTGGCGCAGTCAGTCATCTTTTTTTATTTACTACAGCTACATAATTATGTAACTTCAGTGTTTCATTAGTCTGTAGGGGAATCTTGTATTCAGATAGCACTGAATTTATATTTTCTTCCTTTTGTGTTTTCAATAGGTTTTACAGAATTTAATCAGACTCGTTCAGTGATAACATTCTTTTACCAAAAGCCTTTGATTTGATTGGCTTTGGTATTTGGTATTGTGAGGTTTGGAGGGGTTCTTTTTATTTTTGGTGGGGAGGCTTCTCCTCTTCAATCTGTGATTCAGTGACAAGTGATGTGGCCCCAGAGCATTGTGGGAGAACTGAACAGGTGGCTTTGCATGGTTTTGTTCTGCAGCTGCAAATCTAATGAACATTGGGACTGAATTTCCCAAAATATACCACACATTTTTGGATTGATATAAATGAGTTCTTCACAGTTTTTTTGTTTTTTTGCAAGTTTCAAAGATTATTGGCATATAAAAAGTAATAATAAATGTGTGCAATCTGTAGATAACGATATAAAACATACAAAATACATATGGTCCGTTGAGGGTTTGCATATTTTTACATAAAAATATGTAATAAAAGATGTTTAATATAGAAATAAACGTGTGTCTCTCTTTACCTTGTCCGTTAGCTTACAGCATGTGGTAAAGAAACATGGTTTTGACAGAATGGCTTCCAGCCAACTGCATTGGAGCTGTTGTAGCTGAAGTATCTTGCCAGTGGCATAAGAACGATTGAACGCTTGACTTTCCCTTGCAGTTCTTGAATCTAAATGTACAGCCGGTGTCTCTGTTCCCACTTTGATCTAAAACACCCTTCTTACATGTTTATCCTTTTTGCGCTCTCTCTCTCTCTCTCTCTCTCTCTGGGCTCATACTTTAAGCTTGCTACAAGGCCCATCAAGTTTATCTGAAACTTCTTCAGTTTTT